ACTCCTGGAAAGGCACCTGAATACATCACGGCCTCCTTTGGAGTGGGAGCAGTTGATCTGTTCAGCAGAATATTTGTGGGTTCTGCTGTAAATCCCATCTCGAGGCTCTCCACATCCCATAACGGGGCTCCCTTAGTGCGTGCAGCCACTCAGCTCATACCTGGGTTACCCGCACTGACCCAGGCTTGCACTTTGACCACGTCGCCTGCTGCTCCAGCTGCTTGCGGAGCTCGCCCTGCGCTGCTGAGCCTGTGATGGAGTCAGAAGTGCAGCATCTCTGCAGGGTTCAGCCCAGGGTTGGATGCGCCGATCTGTCAGGCTGCTGGCTCCATGCAGAGCCAGTTCACAGCAGAGCCCTGTAATTCTACATCCCAGCTCCCCTGTGAGCGGGGTGCCCATGGTGTGACAGCCCTGCGTTGGTAATTGTCGGCAGCACTTCATTTCCATAGATGAATGCTCTGGGTTGATCCCTTCTGGGCTGTCTCCTGGCAGCGTCTCTTCAGTTGATTAATCACCAGGAGATGATAAATGAAAATATCAGCTTGAGAAACGCCTGCCCTGTGCTCCCAGCAGAGGCAGCAGTGCACGGTGAATAGTTCTCTCCCATCTTTTCTGCTTTGATTCCCTCTCTAAAGCATTCCGGGACTCTGCTGATGTTCAGCCCCACTCGCTGTGGGCTGGAGGAGAGATGGGGGTTGCAGTTTGGGCAGTGGGGAGGAGTGCTGCGAGCATCCTTCCTCCCTGCGGGCTGTGCCTTGTGAGCAGCATGGCCCAAACTCCAGCACACTGCCTGTTTCATCCTCTGCTGTGCTTTGGGGTCTTCCAGTGATGGGGGGGGGAGTAAAAAAGCCTTTAAGCCACAATGGCTGTGTCTGTATCTTTAGTTTTACAAAAGATGCAAAGCTCTTCAGATAACCAGGCAGGTTGGATGGGGCTTGGAGCAAGCTGCTCTAGTGGAAGGTGTCCCTGCCCGGGGCAGGGGTTTGGAACTGGATGAGCTTTAAGGTCCCATCCAACACAAACCAGCCTGTGACTCTCTGACAACGGTTAGCTGTATATCAAGCTGCCCCTGCAAAACCTGTGCCCTATCCACAATTAAGAGCTGGTTTGGAAAGGTTTGGATCTGGCTGGATTTTTACCCCTGAAATATTCTGTAACTTCAGCAAGTTTTGTGATCTATATGTGGGAGACAAGGCTCTTCAAACACTTTGGGAAAGGAAGAGGAGATCCCTAGGACTGTAGGGCAGAGATTTTCCAAGGCTCTAGGAGGCATTTCTGATATGAGTGTGACAGAAACAGTTCCAGTTCTGGAGTATCTCACATTTGGACAGGCAGAGTGGTTTGTCTGTGCATTCTTGATGTACAGCTCTATTGGCATCTGCGGCGTCTTTAAGTGATGCATCTCTCTGAAGGCTTCACTGCTTCTGTTGTGTGATCTGTTCCCAACAAACTCCGGAGAGCCAGTGATTTATCAGCCACTGCCACTGCTTTTTTGGGGTGAGGAAAAGGCTAATGCTTTATGGATCTATCAGCATTCCAATATGGCACATGGAATACAATATCCTGCCAAAGAGGGGAGGGATGTCTGCTACCTCGCAATCCATCATTCCTCCCAGCGCCCCATGGCAAATGTGCTTTTCTTTTTCAGACAATGTGTGAGTACTTTTATATAGTGAAGAGCTTCTCCCTTCTCCTCCTCCACAAAATCTATATGAACGCCTGAAAATGCAGCTTCTGCAAGGTGCAGAATAAGATGGAAAGGGTCATTTTGACAGGGAGAAGCCATCACTGCCTGCAGCTCTTGGTTTCGGCAGGACATAGGAGATCTACAGTGACGTAGCTGGGCCACAGTCAGCATAAGGGATTGCAACAGGGGTGAGGAGGCCACGGTGACCATGCCCATGCAGGCGGTCAGGTATGTGCTGTAAACATGCACACGTGTCAACAGATGCTCCAGGTACCTTCGTTTCTCCCCAGCCCCACGGCGATTCCCTCTGCTACAGGCATGGCTCTGCTGGCCTTGTCCCCATGGAGCTCATCCACCCTGTTTACAGTGACAAATTGGACTGAGTTGCTAACCTGGTGAGCACATCTACTGCGGAGTCCGAGTCCCTCTCCTATGCCTCTCCTTGGTGTTTCAATTGATTCAGGGTTTTCCCAGTGGAGAGCTTTGTAAGAGCGTTTGATCCCATCAGCTGCACACGATCCTGCCTCTCATTACCCACAGGCTTGCGGCAGGTAGATGATGAAGTGAGGTTTTTACGGTGTGAGCAGTTGTAACAAGGGAAATGATCATCCTGGATATGAGACAACTTGGCTTTTACTACATCTGCTGGCACACAACTAGCTCAGTGACTTTGCCTTTGATCTTGGAGCAAGTCGTCTGCTTTCTCCTCCGGGACAACCCTGCACTTGCTACCCTCAGCCATTAAAAGGATAAATGATGTGGATGAGCAGTGCTCAGGGAAATAGCTTCATATCTTCTTTGGGTTGTTGCAGTCTTTATGGGGGTCAAAGAGTCTGCAGTTTTCACCTTGGGAATGCTTCTGCAGGCACCAGGGTGGAGAGCATCCTTTGGGTGCTGCAGGACACAACAATATTATTGGTTCATGGATGGGATGTCATTCACCCCCCATCTCCACCCAGCTGCATCCTTGAGCTTATTACCCCAAGGAAAGTCAGTAATGCTGGAGTGAAAACTGGGGGAAACAAGTCCAAAACACTTGCTCCATTAGGACGAGTCCTCAGTTAAAATGGGAGTTCATTTTTTTGCCTGCCAGTGGACTTTGGGTCTAAGCTAAACCGGTGCCTGAAAGAAAGGGCTGCCACTTGGTTTTGTTGTACGCTTCCACAAGCGCTACCTCACTTCTGCCATAGCTCCTGGTGGATGAATAAACTTCCTTTTACAGGGAGTCGTTGTCAGGATAATGACGGATCCCACTGTGGAGCCAGATCCAGTGATGAGCACTAATGTTGTTTGCTAATTTGGTTTGAAGTCTGCAAGCGCTCGCTCGTCTTAGTGCAGATCCCTGAATGCGCCTCTTTGGCGCCGGGTGTAATTCTTTGCTCTAATGGCATGCCTGACAGCATCTGTGTACTTACCTGCAGTGGTAAAAGCCTCCTGTACTTAAATGCAATACACACAGAGGTTTGAAGATGAACCCAGGAGGTGCGTGAATACCTTTTAGATGCCTGTAATTCAGCTCATAAATACAGTGCAGATTGCAATAGTGCGTGTAAAGCCGCGCTTCAAACACCAGCCTTTGTATTTGGCAATTTGGTCGCATTGATTCCTAACTTAAAGCAGTGCGGTACCTGAACCCCAAACTGTTGCATAAACATAACAAATCCATCACTGAATCAATGAGGGAGATGCAGAGAAGATGCGTTAACCACGCAGTGCGATGCAGCCGCATGAGCTGAAGGATGTGTGATGGTATTGCACGTGAGGAACCGGGAGAAACGGAAACGTGTGAAGGATGGATCCTCATCACTGAGCATCCGCCCGCCCTTCTCCCTCTTGAAACCAGGCACAATTTGCACTGTGGAGCACCTGCGCCCCAGAGCAAAATGAGATTTCCAGGTTGTTGTGAATCCCAGGTCTTTCTGCTGGCCGGTTAATGGGAATCTTGTCAGCAGCGCTTACCAGGCACGATAAACAGGGAATAAATAGCGCGGTCTGCAGCCAGCAACAGGCTCCCACAATCCATTCACCAGTGAGACACGTTGCACATTCCGGCTTATTAGTCTCATATCCATAATGTATTTTAACAATGTCTTCCTGGCAGGCATTTTCTTAGAACAAACACCCAGGTTGGGTGCTCATTTGTCATCCCTCTTCAGGATTCCAGGGTGAAAAAGAGCTGGTAGCAAGCCATTAGCAATGATTTGATCCTGTGTTTGCACTGCAAATCTGACATAGATTTTTCTTGTGGTTATACTTGCTCCCTTGTTGGTTCCCCATGCAGGCTGCAGGGGAGCACCCCGGGCTGAACACAGGGTCGGCGATTTTTCATACGTGGCCCCTGCTTTGTTTAAAAGAAAGCCTTTCCTCACCCTGCTGGCTTTGCTTTGTACAGCTGAGGAATGAGCAGCGTGGGCCCTTCCAGCTCAGTGTGCGCGGCTGGAATTCAAGCACAACTGTTGAGCACAACTCTTTGCACATGGCCACCTATTCCTGATGGTGACTCGGAGCTGTGTTGTGCTGGCCCAGCTGGGGATGCCAGTGCCCCATTGTACCATTTTCCCAGTGTCCCATTGTCCCAGTGTCCCGTTTTCCCATTGTCCCAGGGTCCCATTTTCCCATTGTCCCAGTGTGCCATTGTCCCAGTGTCCCATTACCCCAGTGTCCCATTGTCCCAGTGTCCCATTACCCCAGTGTACCATTGTCCCAGTGTCCCATTACCCCAGTGTCCCATTGTCCCATTACCCCAGTGTCCCATTGTCCCATTGTCCTAGTGTCCCATTACCCCAGTGTCCCATTGTCCCAGTGTGCCATTGTCCCAGCATCCCAGTGTCCCACTGTCTCATTGTCCCAGTGTCCCATTGCCCCAGTGTCCTATTGTCCCAGTGTCCCCATGTCCCACTATCCCATTGCCCCAGTATTCCACTGTCCCAGTGTCCCACTGTCCCCATGTCCCACTGTCCCAGTATCCCTGTATCCCAGTATCCCCATGTCCCAGTATCCCCATGTCCCAGTATCCCACTGTCCCCGTGTCCCAGTGTCCCATTGTCCCCGTGTCCCATTGTCCCACTGTCCCCATGTCCCATTGTCCCCCTGCCCCTGTGGTTCATTGATGGCTCCGGGCAGCGCGGGCTGGAAACTGCCGCGCGCGGGGCAAGTGTGCGGGTGGCGGGGCGAGCACCAATCAGCTTGCGGAACCGGCTGAGCGGGGACCAATGGGAGCGCGGCGAGGCGGGGCGGGGCGGGGCCTTGGGGGCGCTCCGGGCGCAGCGCGGGGCTGGAGTCGGCTCCGCTGCCGGCCGCGATGCCTGCGGGTGCGGAGTAGCCCGGGACCATGTTCGGGAGCGGCGGAGCGCTCCTGCTGCTGCTGGCAGCGCTGCTCGGTGCCCCGGCCAGCGCGCAGCCCAAGGGGGAAGACGCCTGCCGCCCCGTCCGCGCCTCCTTCCAGGTGCTGCAGCCCGGAGCCAAGTGGGTGCCTGAGAGCCCAGTGCCAGGTGAGACCGCCCGGCACCGTGGCGTCTGGTCTGCAGCCCTCCCCTCCGGGGCTCGCCGCCGCAGCAGCGCCCCGGCGGAGGGGTGCGGAAGGGTGAAGGGGGTCTCTGTGCCTTAGCGGGACGGTGCGGAGCCGGCTCTCCCGGCGGCTGGGGCTCGGGGTGCCGGGCTCCGCGCTGCCTTAAATAGGGGTCTGGGATGTCCTCGCTGTGCAGCCCAGGACTCTCGCTCCCAGGCCGGGCTCGGGGGCTGCCACGGCTCGGGGAAACAGGCTGGAAACGGGCAGCGAGCGCCGAGCCGGGTGAGGTGTTACTCTGCTGTGCAATTAGCATCACAGGTGGTACCGCACCAAACCTCATCAGCTACACCCTGCTAGGCTGCTTTCCGTATACATGCCTCTTTCCTATTATAAAATGTAAGTGAAATACTTGAATTCCTGCCTTTTAGAGCTGCTTTTGCAGCTTTTTGGTAATGAGGGAGGGAGTGTGGGCTCCTCTGGGTGGGTGCCTGTGTGTACGCAGAAGGATGAGGTTCTGGTGGCTGCGTTATAGAGCTGCCTGGGGAGCTCCGAGGCGGTTGTGCTGGGTTAAATACGCAGCAGAGAAGCCTGCCCTGGAAAGCTTCTGATCAAAGTAGGAAAAGGAAGAGATAGCAGGCAAACGTGACACACAGGGGAGGTGCAATGAGATCATCGCCAGCGGTAGCTGCTTCTAATAACCATGTGTTGAGTTATGGTTCTTGTGTTGGGAGTCAGGGCCAGAGACACAAGAGTTGCTTCAGCACTAATCTGCTGCAGCGGAGAGGAAGGGGAGAAGGTGGGACTGGAAGGTGGGGTGTCTGCTGTTGTGCATCCCAAATCCTTTGGGCTCTAGGACTGTAGCAATGCCTCAGGTCATCAACAGCTGTGAGATCTAGGAGAGACGGGATGTAAGTCCTGGTGTGAGAGTACCTCCCCTTCCTATCCTTGCATCCCCTTCCCATATAATATTGGACTCTTAATGTGCCCTTTGGACTAGCTGCAGGAGCAGCATCTCTTCTTCCTCCGTTCTGCAGAGCCTCGGTCTCCTTGTCAGTATGGAGCACTGGAAATACTTTGTGATTAAATGCTTGGATGGAGAGTTGCAGGGAGGGGAAGGAGCTGCTCTTATCACCACTAAACCAACAGATTTTGTTTTTTGTAATCAAAGAAATGCCTTCCCTTCCTCCTGTGGGAGGCAGTGAATGCCTGTTTTGATCCCTAGGTAACTTTCTTGGAGTGTATATTTACAGGGAGATGTGATGGAGTGGTGAGAGGCAGCTGTGCTGAGCGTGGTGAGGGGCTGCTGCAGCCTGGGGGCTGCACCGTGGTGGGTCCTTCCCAGGAGCCAGTGGCGTCCTGCATCCTGGCCCAGGCTGTGATTTCAGTGCGTGGTTTCTCTAGGAGACTTCCTTTCCTGGCTGGGTTCAGGTTGCTGGAGTTGCTGGTGCTCCTCTGGGAGCCCCAGCTGCATCCAATGCTGTTCAGGAGGAGGAAGGAGCCCTTTACCTCTCTGCAGAGCCTGTGGGTAGCTGGATCAATATCTTGTAACAGGGCCGGTGTTTCAAGTGAACACTTCCAGCTTGTTATGATGATAAAGTTCCCGCATATCAAATCGAAAGTGGATTTTACGTTTGCCTAAGTACATAAACTTGATCATAATTAAAGCAATGAGTGCTTGCTTATACCTTGGATCTGGCCCATCTTGCATGACTCTGTAGTAATTACACTTCAGAGCGCTCGCTTCTCCTAGTAGCAGCTGCATAAATCTCTGTAATAGGGAAACATCACTCAAGGACTATTTCCCAGGCTTCTGTTTATGGCTTTCTTCCTTTCATACATCTGTCAATTAGAAAAGTTTTGGAGCTCCCAGCCACAAATCAGCACAGGATCAATTCTGAGAACCTCTGCTTATAGATCACATCACCCTAGAGAAACTAAGGCTTGAAACAACCTACTTCAAACCTGTCAGGGGGGTTTTGACACAAGCAGAAAACTGACTTCTGGACGCCACGTTTTGCAGTAGGAGCAGTTGTGGCTCAAGGCATTAAAGCAGAGGAAACACTGCTGAGCTGCAGCACACGCGGGAGAAGTGTCCCACGGCTCCGTTTTACCGGAGCAGTGGTGCATGGGCTTGGGGGACATGAGCGCAGTGCTCCCTGGAGAGGATCCAGCCGCACCAGGCTGATGCTTTGAATGAGGAGGAAGGCAGTTCTGATAAATGGGAGGGAAGTGTCATGCTGTTTCATGAGCAGTACGAATGTTCCGGGAATAATTCTAGCTGAAGGCGTGCATCAGGCAGCGAGCAGGAACTCGGTCTCCTCTGGTCCTAAAGCCTGGGGACTGGGTTTTTGTAGCTCTGGAGCATGCTTTGGCACGCTGGGAGGTGGGGAGCAGCACGACTGAACTACTGTCAGCTGTGGCTGACTGTTGGGAGCAGTGGGAGGATGTAATTCATGGCAACAGCTCGACTTGAGCTAGATGAGAGGCCCTGTGCTGGAGAGGAGTGAAGGCAGGGTGATGGGAGAGTGCTTTTAGTAGGCTTTCGGAGTTGAGACTTTATGCCAGCTCATGAGCCACCTGCGGTTCTGTGCTGGGGAACTTTGCATTCATTAATAACTAAAGTCTCTTCTTGGTTTTCTTCTTCCTTTTGTCTTTTTCCCTGCATATTTTCTCATGTATAAACTGTAGCTGGAATTGCAGTTTTTTCCCCCGTCTGCTCTCCTCTCCTCCTCGACGTTTGGATTTCTTTGTGGTGACACTCCAGATAACGGGGCTGGTGCTTGTGGATAGAGGGGAAAGGGGCAAGCTGTTGCCTCGATGACTCGGGGAGAGGGGATAGATGTGTCTGCTCTGGGCTGTGTGGATGCTGAGGAGTATTCATCTCGGCAGTGGTACCTGCAGCGTGTCTCTTCTCCTCCTCCCACAGCAGAGTGCAGTTGCTAGCTTTTTGTTCATTCTCTTTGATGGAAGCAAATATGGATTCACCCAAAGAAAATAGAGGACACGAACCTTTTGCTGTTGGAGTCGAGGTGTAAAGCTTTACAGCTGGCTGCCTGAGCATGTCAAGCTTTCTTCTCTCTTTTCTTCTCTTGGCAGCTGCTGTGTGCCAACACACAACCTAAACACCTCAGCTCTTCCCGCTGGATTCAATGCACCTTTGCTCGGGAGCTGGTTCCCTTTGTACTCCTACTCTTTTATGCTGCTTTTCCTGAGTGGGACTAATGATTCTCCTCCCCATGCAGCCTTTCCGTTCAGCTGAGCGTGCTGGTTTCAGATCTTCGCTTACTAGCTAATTGAGTTTTCTGTTCTTCATTATTCCAGGCTGGCAAGTTGCTCTCTTGCTAGTTCAGAGAGCAGGAGCAGAACCCTAAAACTCAGTAACCTCCCCAGGCAGTGGCTTTATAGCGAGATCATTTGTTTTATCTTTGCTCCCAAGGGTGGATGTTAACAACATCCTGAGCACTGCTCTTCCCAGCCTTTGCAATGGCTGTAAGGTGCGTGCGTGCGAGCACAGCAACCGCACGTGGTGAGTGGGTGCCCGCAAGTTAAGCTCCATACTTTAGATGATGGTGTCGTTGATAGATTTGTTAGAAGGAAACATCTACTCTATCAAACCTAGTTTCTCCCCAACTTCTTCTTTTAAAAGACGTGGCGTTATGGCGTTATATTTGCCTGGCAGCACTGCAGGGCTTAGGGAAGCATCCAGAGTCAGATGGCCTTCGGAAACGCAAGATGGAATAGAAAAGAAAGGCTAATTAAGCACTAATAAATATCCCATGTGGTACCGATACTGTTCCAACTTGCATCACCTATTGAATGAGGTTGGTTTATAATTCATATCTCTTTAATTAGGTTTTAAAAAGATCAGCACTTAACCTGGCTTCTCAACAGTTACATTTCTTTCCCTCTCCACAAACGCTGCGCATTAAAAGCCAGTGGCAGATGCATGACCTCCTAGTCACATAATTTAAAAGCAGGGGTTTGATTTAAAAAGAGAGGAATGATTGAAATGGCTGGGGGGAAACCCGCTAGATTTAAAGGCTGAATTACTGCTTGTATCTGTTTAAAGCATGATGCTGAGTGTGAAACAGAGAGAGGAAAGCAGCAGCTTTCTGATGGGTGCCATTAACAAAGCGGTGTGCTGGGAGGGCAGGATGAAGCCCTCTGACGTTTTCCCGACTGCAGGAAGCAAAGGGTTCTGCTGCTCCTTGTGGAGGAGGCTGCGGCGGTGGAACACGAGGCAGGGATGGGTTCTCATTTAGGCAATGCCTGGGGTGAGTCTGGGGGAACGTGAATCCAATTTCAGCTGCCATTGGATCTGGGTGGGCAGGCTCGTGTGCTCCAGTGGGAAGCATGGCTCCTCCGTCAGGGTCTGATGACAGGGTTGGAGCTATCTTGGGATGCTGAAATCCAAATACAAGCTTTCAGGCTCACGAAGGAGCTCACAACCGCCTGCACAGCATCTCAAGGAGGGGGGTTGACATTTAATCCACTGAAGTTTGACATTTAACCCACTGAGGAGGAGGAGGCAAGGGATGGCAGTGAGGGGAGATGAGGGATGGCAATGAGGGGAGATAACGGATGGCAGTGAGGGGCAGCTATGGGGTGCAAGGGGTGCCCATCAGGGGAAATGAGGGTTGTCTGTGAGTGGAGATCATGAGGCATGGCCATGAGGGGAGATCAGTTTGCCTTTAGTGCTGTGGTTTAGTGGTGCGCTTGGCAGTGCTGGGGTAATGGTTGGACTCCATGATCTTAAAGGTCTTTTCCAACCCGGTTGATTCTGTGATTCTATGACATTACTTTCACTTCTGCTGTGCTAGCCACCAATCTGGGAATAACTGTGCTCCAAAGTCAAATTGAATTCTTTAAATTCCCTGCTACCCGGACTTCAGGAGAAATTCCCTTCGTGAGAAGGAGGAGGAAGAGGCAGAGCGGTGCTGGAACGGCCAGAGCTGTAGAGATTGGTCCTGTCAGGTAGGAACGGGTGCAGAACTGCTGCAGCATTTACACTGTGGCTCCCCAAGACGCCATAAATGGCACAGCAGTGCCTGGCACCCATGAGCCGATGCAAGGGGCCGCATCCAGCTCCTTCTCCTCCGTCGGAGCTGGGTGTTGAGCTTAGCATCCCGCTGGCATCGCCTTGCAGAGTCTGGGATGTGAGCTTCCAAATGCCATTTCATCAAACTGTTGGGGGAATTCGTGGGATGCTTCTTTCCAAAAATGAACGTGTGATGATTTATAGCAAAGGAGAAGGTTGTTTGCGAGGGATGAGACTGGCATTCCAAGGTGGGATGGCTTGAATCTTTAAGTAAAAGGGGAGTGAGTAGGCTGGGAGATAAAACAGTAAGGGCCATTAGGCAGCTGAATGGGCTTTGCTATCTCGCAAGTTGGAGCTATCACTGGAGGTGTTTGTGTTAGATTAAATGCTTGGAGGAGGTGGATTGGGAGGCAGGGGTAGGATCTGATGACTCACGGGACATTTTGCGTTGCATTTATGGAGCCAGAACATGTGGCAGTTTAATTCATGCTGGTGCCTGGTCCGTAGGCTTGTGGTGGCCGTGTCTCTGCACCTGCACGCTTTGGAGCACGCACAGTTTGGGATGCAGGATCTGGGTCTCTTGGGTGATGCTGCAGTGTGAGTGCAGAAGAGGGGACCTCCAAGCAATGGTATGAATAAACTGGGGTCCTGAGCATCCAAACCTCCTTTCCTTACCATTGGGACTTCCAGATGGAGCTGTTAGGGTCTGCTCACCATCTGGGTCTGCTGAACACAGCAAATAGCTGACAGATGGGAGTCAGGCCCCTGTTCCCTGGCCCTCTGTAGCAGCACTCTGTGCCAAGGAGGACATTGTCCCTGGTAGCTTGTAAGAGCCTGTGTTGACCTGTTGCCTTTCCCATGATGGTTTGGTTGCTGGTGTTAGTTGGCTGTGTCTGTAAAATGCTTTAAGAGGCTGGAGTTAATTCCCAGGCTTTTCCTCCTCCCCCGTGATGGCTTTGCTGCAGCATGTCTGTCTTTTTACTTCACAACAGTAAAGATCCACTTAAGGGGAGAAATTGGCTTAATAGCTAAAAAGAAGGATGGGATGCAAGGAGATGACCTTGCTGCTTCCTATCCCTGGCTTGACCTTGCACAGATCTCTTAATTGCCAGCCCTTGGATTTTCTACATTGGAATTTCCATTAATCATGGAAGGCTTCCCCCCCCCCCCTTCATTTGAAATGTGTCTTAATATAATAAATGTAGGAGGAAATAAGTTTTGTATTAGCAAGGAATTTCTGGCTGTATTGTAGTGTTAAAGGGACCATGCTAAGCCTCTTTGCGGTGTAAATTGACTCGGACTTGACTTGAGAAAACCTCTTTAGCTTGCTGTTACAGAGCTGCTGCTCTCATTAGGGCCGTGTCTTGCTGTTAGGTGGTTTCATGGTCCCTGTGGTTTTGGTTTTGATGCGTGAAAGACCCGTCACTGCGCTCCTCTGGAGTGGGTGAGTTCATGAGCCACTGAGAGTCGATCTTTAGGTTGGTGGTGCTGACTTCTTTTCTCCAGAGGGGCTGATCAGAGAATCCCAGGCTGGTTTGGGTTGGAAGGGACCTTAAAGCTCCTCCAGTTCCAACTCCCCTGTCACAAGCAAGGACAACTACTGTGGCAAGTTACAGTGCGATTTCAAGGGCCGTGAGCTAATATGGCTTGTCTTCTTGGTGCCTGCTCCCCTCTTCCCCTTCCTTCCTCCAAACAGGAGAAGGGAATAATAGAATGGTTTGGGTTGAAGGGACCTTAAAGCTCCTCCAGTTCCAACCCCTGCCATGGGCAGGGACCCCTTCCACTGGACAGGCACTAGGACAGGGCTCCAAGCGCCGTCCAACTTGGCCTTGCTGATGGAGAAATTTGTGCTGTGCGCCCTGTGTTGCTGAAGGGGAAACTGAGGCAGTTGGGATGGAGCTGTGGGCTTTCTCGCCCTTTGCCATGCGTAGTTTTGCAGTGATGACAGGACGTGCAGTGGTTAAAGCTCATTTCCGTGTGTGATATCCATGTTGCAGATGAAGGGGTTTGTCTTGTTTCCCCCAGGCTGTGCCTGGGAAGGGATGGGGCTGAAGGCAGGAGGGTTTCTGCTGTCACTGCTCCTGGCAGCTGGTGTTCCCTCATTGGTGTGCGTGACTCCTCCTCAGGAGGTGCACGGTTGAACTGACGTTAATATTAATCCTGTTCTGCTTACAGAAGTGACTTGACCCTTTGTAGTAATTAGTGGGAGAGTGGATGTGCTAAAAGACTCTTGAGGAGGAGAGGAGATCCCGAAAGGGTGAGTGATCCCTCCATAGCAAGGATGTAAATTACCAAAGGGACTTTTATAGAGGGGGAAAAAGGGGAAGGCAGGGTGAAGGCTGAGGGCTATGGGGAGCATTTGCCCTGTCTGTACTGTCTGTCGTTTCCTTGGGGACTGCTTCCTAATCCTCATTCTGGGCAGTGCTGAGCTTAAGAAGGAGCTGTTCCTGCTCTGGGCACGGTGCTCTTTAGATGGCAGCCACTGAACTGTGAGGTCCTCACTGCTGCCTGGCCCTGGATAGCTGTTATTAACGGAGTTGTTGCTTGCTGCTTGGGTTTCTAACAGCAGCATCAGGTTAGATGTGTTCTGCATGATGAAGGCTCTTTGCTTTGGTAGGAGCTCATTGCTTTGCTTGTGTTTGTGGGGCCAAGGTTTGCTACTGAAAGCTGATCCAGAATGAGACTTTTTGTTGCTGCTGTTTCCAGTTCTTTTGTCCCACCTTCTCCTGTTGTCTGAATCCAAACAATGAGTATTCTTTTTTTCTAGATTTGATCTATTTTTGGCTAACAGCACTTTTCCTAAAATTTGTCTATTACCTCCAGGAGTGAAAGCTTTGGGAATGTCTAAAAACCAGAGTTTAGCATCACTGACCAGTGTTTTGGGTTACAGCTCGAGATGCTAGAGCAATCAGTGTTCCTCTAACCTTTGTCCTCTGGCTCTTCTACCACTCTGGTGAATGGGTGGAGGGGGTTTGTTGCAGTGAGGTGAGGAAGGAATGGTGGAATTGGGAGGACTTGGGAGATGTGTACAGTTTAGAAGGCTGAACTAAGAAATGGTCAATTACTGTTGTGTCGTCCTGTTGGTGTTGTTGTTGCTGCTCTGTTCATTCCTGTCCTGGGCTCAGCAGTAGCAGTCACGTTTCTCCTTTGTGGTAGCTGGTGCTGTAAATCCACAGCTCCAAATCCTGGCTCCTTTCCTCATCTCTGACCCCATCTCTCTGGCTGCCTGCAGCTCCTGACCAGCGTGCTGGTCAGCATGCAGGAGCAGCAGGGTGATGCTCTGTACCCCTCTGCTCGGCACTGGCACGTCAGTGGACAGAGTGTGTGGGAGATGCAGCCAGCAGCGTGCTGGCAGGAGTACAAAGCAAGCTCCCAGGGGCTATGGCTCAGCGATCCTGGCTCTGCCTTATCAATCTGCTCCTTCGGCCAAGCTGCTTGCTCAGGACAATCCCAGGAATGTCATCGATTTGCCCAAGCAGTGATTGCAGTGACGCTAACGTATAGAGTTTGTTGTCTCCTGCTAATTCCAACCCCTCAAGCAAATATTGTGCCCTTCTTCCTCTCCAGGCTCTGATCTCCAAGTATGTATCCCCAAGGGCTCCACATGCTGCTCCAGGAAGATGGAGGAGAAGTACCAGGCAACAGCCCGCCTGACCATGGAGCAGCTCCTGCAGTCTGCCAGCATGGAGCTCAAGTTCCTTGTCATCCAGAACGCTGCTGTCTTCCAAGGTGGGTGCTGGGGGTGGTCCAGGGAGGAGGAGATGCTTTTGGTGCTCTTTCTCAGCATCTCGCAATCAGAAGTGCATGTGGCTGGAAGTTTTCTGGTTTTCATGTGACTGTATATATATATATATTATATATGCTAATTTCTGATAAATAATACACCTGATCTGGGATGTGGCTGCTCTGGCAGGCTTGTCCTAAATATTCCCGTCACTGAAACAGCAATTGTAACTTTAAAGACTGCACCTCTTCAAGTGGGAATGTAACAATAAATGAAAACCCCACTTCCCCCAGCGTTTCCCTGTCTGTGCAAGCACCATCTGGGCTGGTTCTGCCAGTCCCAGGCTGCAGTAATGTGATCTGGTTGTCACCCCAGTGTAACGCTTGGTAAGCATCTGACTGAAGAGCGTGCGCGTTGATCGTTGTTATCCACGGCAAAACAAAGTTGGTTGTTCCATGAGAGAGGCTGACATGCTCACGAGTGCCATCCACCAGGGGTATGTGAGGGCTTGGTGACCTGGTGCCACGCTATGGTGGCAGCGCTCTTCCTTTTCTAGTGATAATTTGGTGTATTTTCTTCTTCTAATGCGAAGTATTGTCCTTTTGGCAAAACTAAGCTTTGACAAACACTGTTCTCCTGCGGATACACACGAGTCCATGTCACTTAAATCTGCAATCAGTGGTTTTTAGGGCCTTTACACAAGCAAAACTTACTCCATCCATGGTTAATGGTAATGAAATGATTGCTTGGTTATTGAGTGCTTTCCTGTTGAGGCTCCATTGTTCTCTATTGATGGCACTTCTGCCTGTATTTAAAGAAGGCATGAGCAGCCAAGTGGGGCTTTTTTTCCTTCATGCTGATATTTCTGCAGAGTAATTGATTCATTTTTGGCTGTGCATCATTAATAGCAAGACCCGAAGCCTGCTGAAGCCTGAGAGATCATGGCAAAGCTCTGTTCTGGTCCACGGCTGCCTGATGCAGTCTAATGTGTTGTGTTTTCTCAGTGTGAGATCAGCTGGATTGCTGAGGAGGTAACAGTGTATTTTTCCCTATACTTGTCAATGCAGTGAACAGAATGGAGTAAAACTACTGAGAGATTGGATTTCCAGGCCTTGGAAATGTGGACTAACTTCAGAGATTGATAACCTGGCTGGAATACAAAGTGCTGCCTCCTTGCCCTACCGTTTAACACAAGCATCGCAGTGAGAACTCCTGTTGCATGTAGGAATGACACCCTATGTTACTGCAGGTTGTGCACAGTATAGCAGAGTTGGGTGCTCTAGCTTGGATCTTTCTGCCTCTTCGGGAGGGCTGAATCCCTTGCTCTGATGTTTTTCCTTTTGTTTTTCCACCCTGGCAGTGAGAGCCCTTTTCCTGGGCAGGGATTTGGGAGCTGATGTTACTCTGGAAAGCCTTGGTGTGCAGAATTGCCATCCTTGGTAGTAGGGATGAAAAGCATTTAATGGAACAATTCCTGACCACTGCTGCTTATAAAAAAAGCTTCTGACTAATTTTCAAGGTCTTTTGCAATCTGTTGAAGAGGAATTCCTAGCTGGAACCACCGAGGAGCTCGCTTTAATTACCTTGTATGAAGTGGTTTGGACTTGGAAGAGCAATTCATTAGACTTTGAAAACTGTGTGCCATTGTTATCTTTAAATTTAGTCTCAAAGTCTATAGAAAGCCACGTTGTTAATAGGTGGATATGTTGATTGCTGCTTGTTCAAGAGTGGCTTGATGGCTGTAGTGCCAGAGGCTGTTTCAGCTGTAAAAACTGGATTGAACAGACAGCAGTCTGATTTCCTGTTCCTTGGCCCTGCTGATGGTAGGGGAGAGGTTTCTATCTCACGACATCACTAAGGCTGTTGTGTCTCAAATCAAATCCCACCAGCGTGCTCTTTGCTTCCTCCCACGCTGCCAAGGTATGTGCCATGACAGCTCATTGCAGGTTGGCAAACTTGCTGTTGCTGTGGCACAGGTGGAGAGCGTGGGATGCCCGTTGCAGGGGGTGCCTGGGGCTGAATGCGGTTACTGGGGGGATGCTGGAGCAGTCCTTGAGTGCTATTGGAGCCCACCGTGGTCCCCAGGCATCTCTTGCAGGCCCTGCTCCTGCATGGTGCCTTTGTTTGAAGCTGGGGACAGATGCCCTGTGGCTTCAGGAGTTGGGACTGCAGGACGTGTGTCTTACCCCCTGCTTCTGCTGGGGGTCCTGCGCAGAGGATGTGTAATACCCTGCTTTAGAGAGCAGTGCAAGGATGGTGGAATGGAAACGTACCCTTAACCACTCCTGTTAAAAGGAAATACAAATGTGAAATCCTTCAGAATGAATGTATTTTTAGCTTGGCATCTGAAGGGACTGCTGGTCTGACAAGTGAAATCTCACCCAGATGTTGCTATTTGGCACCAAGTTGAATTTCTTCCCACAGAAGCTAGAGCAGCCTCGCTGCTGATAAAGATCAAGGGAACTTGTCTGGCATTTACAGAAAGCCTCATCCAGGCCTATCTGTTACAATGTTCGCGTAGCAAAGTTGATTGGATTATTAATTTTAGAGCCTTGGGCTTTTTCTTTATTGCAGTTAAGAAGGAAAAATCCCAGCCCAAAGAATCCTCCCTTCACTCAGTCTCACTGGTACAGTTAGCTCCTGCACTTCTCTTACAGGCACTCTTTAAAAGAGGAAGATTATTTAAGTAGCAGTTTAATCCTTTGGAAACTCACTGTGTTTGACAATGTTGGAATGGATTGTAGCTGCCTTGACTGCACTTAAATCTTACACCGGAATCTCTTTGAGGGCAGGTGTTTTTGCTTTCATGCAGTGTATCCATGCTGGTATCTGCCCATGTGCCTACCTGCTGGTTTGGGTTCTCAGCTGACAACAGCTCTGTTGCATACCGTGAAGATGAACATGAGCTGAACTTGCTCGTGGGTCTTTTGGCAAGTGCCATATGGTATTGCTGTGGAGTTCTCATCCAAACTAACCTTTGCGTTACTGCAACTAACCTGCTGTGGCAAATGGGGAGAGCCTGCCCTGCCAGTCACCTTTCTCCCCTCTCTTTCTCTTGACCTTATAGAATCATAGAATAGTTAGAGTTGGAAAGGACCTTAAGATGATCCAGTTCCAACCCCCCTGCCATGGGCAGGGACACCTCACACTAAACCATCTCACCCAAGGCTCTGTCCGACCTGGCCTTGAATGCTGCCAGGGATGGAGCATTCACAACCTCCCTGGGCAACCCATTCCAGTGCCTCACCACCCTAACAGGAAAGAATTTCCTCCTTATATCCAATCTAAACTTCCCCTGTTTCAGTTTGAACCCGTTGCCCCTTGTCCCCTTGTCCTGTCACTACAGTCCCTAATGGAGAGTCCCTCCCCAGCATCCCTATAGCCCCCCTTTTGGTTATTTACAGTTATTTGCACTGTCCATTCCTACCTGTTGGGAGTGAAGCTGGTGTTGACATTGTAAGCTTCTATCAGGTTATCTCTAATCAGCTTAGAGACACCTAAGCCACAGATGTATCAAATAGCCAACCCTAATGGTGGAGGCCTCTAAAGCATGGCTGAATTATTTATTTTGGTATGATGAGAATGTCTGGGCTTTATTGGGTTTTCTTTGAAGAATTGGGCTCCTCTTGAAGTCTGGAAGATAAAAGATCACTGATTGTCTCTCCACGTTTCTTATTCAGAAGCCTTCAAGACTTTCCCCTGTTCATGAGCTGCTGTTACTGCTTTAGAGGCAAGGTGAGGGAGTTGAGGCTTCTTTTATTCTGTTGAAGAGGTTTAAGTATATAAAGCCTTTGATCTTTAGTAATCATGCCTTGGGTGGGTGAGTCCAAGATGCGCGTTGCATCCATTAGGTGAGAAGAGATGGGCACCATGGTGGGAGTGCTGCTGGGAAGGGTCCACTGGTACGAGAGCTGCCCAGCAGAGGCAGGTCCTATTGTTTGGGGTGCTTTAATACCCCAGTGCCTTTAAGCCAGTGAAGTCTGACAGTGCAGGAGGGCCCCCAGGTGTTGGCAGCAGCACTTCAGCACAGCACCATTCTGCGGGCCACTGTGCGGGGAGGAGGCTTCTTGCATGGCTTCTCCATGCAGGAGAGAAGTGATTACGGTTAACTGAACACATGTAAAACCAGATGCTCAGCAGATTGTGGTTAACTGAACGCATGTAAAACCAGATGCTCAGCAGTAGCCAAGTCTCACGTGAGCGGGGTGGTCAGCTTCAAAGCTGTAGGTGTGTTGTGAGAGTGCACGTGAAGATGTAAACTGTTGCTTGTGGGCTTGTAAAGATGAAGCTGACGTTTTAGAGTGGATTCAAAGGAGGAATTCAGCTTTTGGAAAGAGAATATTAAAACTAATTAGACTTTACAAGCAAACAAGCACCACAAATAGATCTTTGTATCATCTTATGATTCCTGCTCCTAGCTGCTCCTCTGCTTGCTAAAGCCTTGCTGCCTCCTTCCTTGCTGCCATCCATACAGTGGCAGCTGTCCTCTTTGAAAGCTTCTTCTTTTGTTGTTGATTTCGTTATTCATGCGTTACAATAGTACTGGTGTCACTGGGTCAATCCAGGCTGGCGTCCTGCCTTTGGCAGTGCTTCCTGCCAGATGCTTGGGATACACCAGGTTTGCAGTGGAAAACTATGGTGATACATCGCCCAGGTTGGCGATGATGCTCTAAACTGATGATTACAGGTAGGTGGGAAGAGCTGTCTGCATAATGGGAGCTCCCAGTTTGTCAGAATCAGTATAGGGAAGTAATGTTTCCTTTCAAATAACCAGAACTTATTGTTCATAAATCACAGTTAATCTGTTTATTACACTAGCACACGAAGCTGGGAGTCTGGAGTGGGCTATAATGCTTAGCTTTAGGAGCAGAGCTGTAATCGTAGCAGCAGTTTCAAGTGATTTGAAATTGGGGGATCAGCAAAATGCAGGAGTTTGTGGAGGCTCTGGGCATTAAAAATGACTGCTGAGGATTGATGAGTTTCTTTAACAAATTGTAAAATCCAT